TGTGTGTCATATACAGTCATATCACGTGTAATACAGTCTCTCTGTCTGCAGGGTTTGTTTGCTGACCTTTTGGCCTGTTGATAGTATACAGATGGCTGTTCACTATTGGGCTAATAGCCTAACATTTATTTGACACCTCTAAAAGCTTTAAATGTAGCAGAATACAATGGAGTCAATCATCGGCTCTTGTCACTTAGTGATTATTTCCTGAATTTTCCAGAATAGCTTATATATGTTGTTCTACTATGGAATAAAGCAATGAGCGATGACATTGCTCTCTCTCTCTCTCTCTGGGGTGGGCAAAGCAGAGGGTCCATGTTGCCCTTTCAGCTTGGAAATCAGAGGAAAAGGACCTCTATAATTACTCAGTGACCTTTATGTACTGGAGGCTATAGCTTTCATCTCATTGACTACAGTCATGTACACAACTCACAGTACAAACTCAACTGGACAAGGCTCTAGACTCCCCAGTAGCGGTGACAGTAAAACAAAAAATGTGAAAAAGAAGTGCACTTAATTGTATTGAATGTGTACATGTAATGCACTTCAAAAATTAAAAGTAAATAAATTAATTAATTAATAAAAAAAAAACTGTACTTGCTTTTGTAACAGTTTCCTAACACACTTAAGTAGTCTTGTGAAAAATGTACTATGATTGGTTCCAAACCATTACATTTAATTTGCACTTAAATATATTTTAATTATTTCTGTAACATGTAAGTCTTTTTAAAGTGTACAAGAGTGTAATTCTAACATTCGTGAGTAACTGCATAATATGGGCAGACAATGAGATATTTACATGCTGGCTGGATCAGGAAACCTTGTGCTTTAGTTCATGTGATTCACTCAAAACAGTTGACTCACTTCTGTAGAGGCCACCAGAGCTTCTTAACTGGTTTTCTTCAGGATCCAGGGTTTTTGTAACCAAATGACGAGCCAACAGTACCAAAAATGGAAAATGTTTGTTTTATTTTTTTTTTTATGCAGTTTATTAACCTGATACTACACTGTGTCAGCTCATACTGCCATAGGACGCAATCAAGACCAGACTCAATATCGAACCTTGTAGGAACAAAATTGATGTTTTATATTTTAAAATATGGTCATATTTACTGAGGATTTTTATACTCATACAAAACACCAATCAATACAAGGTCTGCTTTATGACATCTAATTAACTACTTCTCAGGTTTTCTGCACCCTTTGTTGAAAACACAGATTATGAATTTATAAGATAAACATAACCAAAATAAATTAAAGTTCCTATCAGAGAACTGTGAAAAGGGGGTCTTATATTGTATTTTTGGTTATGTATGTATCTATGTATTTGGCAGGCCCCTTTTATTGAAGTGATGCTTCTAAATACTTTGATGCTTCCTTGTTTCCTCACTGCTCTGTCCTCCATGACCCAGAAATCGATCGAAGTCCTCCATCATGAAGGACATGTCAATTTACTAAACCCACTGTGAGGCGAGGAACGAGGAGAGAGAGAGCTTTCAGAGAAAACGTCTCAGGTTACGTATGTAACCATGGTTCTCTGAGTAGGGAACGAGACACTGCGTCCTCTTGCTGAAGGAACTGTCTCAACAGACCCCTAGTAGCAACACCCTGTTAAAGTAGGTATCCTGAGGATACATAGGTGGAGTGGTGCCCAAGGTCGAACCGGGGCCTAACCGACTCAAGAAAGGGCACGAAGCCATCGCACGTAGCCCCTACCATACAGGATTTTAGAAAGAATGCAAAAAGCTTAATGTGCGAACTTACCACAGTGCCCACGGAGCGGGGAATTCAACTCCTCAGAAAGGGAGAGAACTCGAATGCTCGTAAGAAAGCACCATGCTCATAAATAATCCTCTACAGTGAGGGGAGCGATGTTTTAAAAGTGTATCAACAGAGACACATTAGTTGAGTGGAGCCCAAGGCGAGTACCGGGGCCTAAGACAACTCAGAGAAAGGGAACAAGGCTAACAACGCGTAACCTTACCATACAGGGTTTTAGAAAAGTGCACAGAGTGCTTAGCGTGCACACTTACCACCATGTGGATTTTAGAAAGTGCACAGAAGTTTAGCGTGTGCACTTACCATAGTATGGATTTTATAGAGATCTGCTCACATATGCCCAGAAGTCCTCAGCCACTCAATCGGGAGGCTCAATCGGCTGGGACGTTAGACGGCTGTCAGTGACATTATCCCCTACGGCCAAAGGCCTAAGCTACATACCCCAAAAAACTTACCTGTTAGGGCCAGAACTCCTGGGCCCGGGGTAGAGCTCAAGGCTTGGAGTCGGGAATAGATTCCTGTAAGGGGATACGACCAAGTGCCTAGAATCGTACTAGGTCTTGGCCTGTCACCTAGGGGCCTACCACTTGCTCTGCATGAGCTTACACAAAGGAGGGGTTTCCCACAGAAACACAAATCCCTCTTACCTCAGGGAACGCAGTGTACTCCAGCCCACTCCACAGAGGAGTGATTATTGGTTTAACCCTAAGGGCAGTGTGACAGTGAGGACCTACGGGCCCGACCGTCTATGGAGCATTGAGCTCAGAGAACGTGCATGAAGGTTAAGGAACGATTCAAATCTCGGGAGACCTCTCAGGGTGAGAAATGAGTAGTTTGCACCTGGCCTGAGGATAGGGAGCATGTCACGAAGCATGTACTCAGAAGAGTAAAGCATCAGATACACAAGAACTAGCAGTAGAGTAGATAAAAATGGATCGTACTCACCAACCATGGCTCCCACGCATGACTCAAGCTCGTGATATAGGCTGGAGGCGAAGTCCGAAGCTTGGACCCTTGTGGAATGAAGGATTTAAAGGCAGCCGAGCACGTCTTGGCCTCCTGAAAACCTCACGACCACCGTCTCGACGAAAGTGCCGAAAAGCTCAGAAGGGGAAACCGGCGCATCAAGAAGAAAGCCCTTCTCTTTCGACCCGATAAACACCAGACTCACCCACAGATGTCTCTCCATAACCACATTGGCTGCCAGTGGTGCGACGCAACTCAGCCACCTCATCAGGGGATAGACCCTGCCTTTATCCAGGTCTTTGGTCTGAAGCACCACCATGGTGTGCAACGAGACTGCAGTCTGACTTAAGAGAAGATGTCTCCCCCGTGGAGAGATAGCAGGTCAGCATCTCTTCAACAGGTGGCATCTTCTCATAACCATTCTCACGCATCCCCTCGATGTTGGCATAACTACGTATTATGCTGGAATCTGTGGATGCGGGACGAGAAAGTTTTTTTTTTTTTTTCAAGCTGGAGTGCAGTATAATGTGGTTATCTGAGAGGGACATGATATAAACCATCTGTCCAATAACTGCAGACAGATCCACACTATACATTTCCTATATAAACAAAAGGAAATTACTGATAGCGAGAAATTTCCCGCCAGGTCCTTTCCATGTTCTCACCGCGACACAACGCGCAGCATGCATTCAGCTCCCGCGGGAGCAACACGCTCCGCCCAACTGCTAGATTACCTCGGAAATCAAGCACGAACGAAAACTGCTGCCGTGAATGCATCGCTTTTCCCGCGAGAGGCAAACGCACTCATGCAAACGCTATCTACAAACTCGGGTAAATGGTGAAATACTCACATCCCCCTCAGTAGTCCCGTGAATGCATCACAATGAGCACAAGCCACCTCCTATGAAACGAGTGCGTTCAATTCATGCTTATCCCTCACAAGAAATAAGCAATGAATGCAGAGCGCATCCAACTCCCTCAAGAGCTGAACGCGGTTGCTCTTCACCACACACACACACACACAGCACGCAAGCCATGTGAAACTGCAGGTATCAGAGCAAAACTTCTGGCGAGAAACATTCACTCCTAGTCGTGTTTAGCTTAACGCTAACATAAACAAACGGTCAGTGAAGACGAAGAAGAGGATGACGTGTTCTCCCGGCGCCTATTTATACTATAGTCGCACCGGTAGTGACGTCATAGGCTGTCGCCGGCCAATGTTATTGTCATTTTTAGATATATGCTTCAGACACCGGTCACACTGAAGGTGTTACCAATAGCGACCCCTAGAGGACGCAGTTCGAAGTTCCCTTGAAAGGGAACTGGAGCTAGGAAACAATGGTGTATCATTCCTGGATTAATGTGTCCAATAATTGTGTACACTTCTGGATGAATAGAAACAAAATAACTTTATTTTCATCTTTGTTATTATAATCAACCATAAATTTGACATATTTCAATAGTGCATCTTGCTTTATTAAAAATTTTTAACCAGCTACATCAACAGCACAGTGAGGTATTACAGCAGTACAAAGTAATGGTTTTATACACAAAGTAACATAGATATTATAACACAAATTCATAGGTATTATAAATATACATTAAATACATACATATACATGTTCATAAAGAAAGACACCAAGTGCAATGTAAAACCAAAATACATAAAATAATTGAAAAAACAAACAAAAAAAAGCACAAGCTCACAGTTTTTGGTTTTGAATAATTTGGATATACTCTGGTTTTGTTTAAGAAATAAATAAATAAAGGTTTGTGGTTATTAAATTTGCTTTAGTGGAAATTAAATGTTGTAAGGAACAGTAAAATATTTGCAATAAAATTCACTAATAGCATTAAAACCAAACATACATCTTTAAACAAGTCCACATATGTTCAGAAACATTTTTACAAAAGTCTTTTCAAAATAATTGAGTGCAAATTCATCAGCAATCACTGACATGACACTTTGAAACTACAACTAACTCTCATTGTTACGTTATGGTTAGGGTTAGTAGAATAAGTTGGCCTACAGCACTTGCAAAGTTACTTATACTCAGTAAAATGTATGTTGGGGGACCATCAAAATAAAGTCTTACCAATCAAACCCTTGACCTCTACCAGCTGAGCTTCTTCGTCTCTTCATAGCGATCTACACATCATATGAGGTTTGATGGGTGGATATACAGCTCTCAGTTCCAGCGGTGTTATTCTCTTATCTTTAGGACTGTCACCGCACTTGCTAATAACAGTAACATTTAGGTGCACAGAGGAGTTGCTCTTGCGGCTAGAACACAAAAGACCTTGAAAAACTCCTTGAGCTCTCTTCCTGAAGTGGCTCCCTACGATAACATACAAAAAAGGGTTTATTGCACTATTGCTATACCCTAAATAAGTAGCCAGCTCATTGCCTATTTGCAATACATTCTCCCAGAGACACCCAGGAATGAGCTGAAAGTAGTCAAGAGTTTCTAGGAACTGCACCAGCTGAAAGGGTGTCCAGCACAGGAGAAACACTGTGAGGACCGTCAGAACCAGCTGAGCGGCTTTCCTCTCCGTTTGAACTCTCGGTTGAATCACCAGGCCGCGGTTTTTAAGCGCTCTGACCACGTGAAAAGTGCAAAGAGAAATAATCGGCAGCGGAAGCAGGAATCCAACGAAGTTTGTCGTGATGTTCCGTTGGAGAACCCAGGCTGGATGAGGGTATTCTAGGTAACAGGCATCCACCCCTATGAATGGAAAGAAACCTACTCTTCGGAAGAGCAGAGTTGGGAGGCTGAGCACGAATCCCACCATCCAGATCACCACACAGATACTCTTGGCCACTTTGGGGTATCTCAGCTTACTGGGGTTCATGGGTTTGGCCAAGGCGAGGTAGCGGTCCACGCTGACCAGCACCAGGAAGAGTATGCTGCAGTAGTAGTTCATCGAGATGGCGGTGCAGATTACCTTGCAGAGCAGCTGACTGAAGTTCCATTGATACCCTTGGGCGATGGTGACCGTCCAGAAGGGCAAACACAGGACCATAATGAGGTCTGCAGCTGCCAGGTTGCCCAGATACACATCAGCTACGCTGCACGGCTTCCGCTGGAGGCAGAACACGCAGAGGACCAGACTGTTGCCCAACACTCCCAGGATGCTGATAATAGCCAGAAATGGAGGCTGGAGAGATGACAGCCATATCCAGGCGACTGTATCGTTGCAGAGGTTTGATGAATTTAGTTCCATTAGGACACTGTGAAATGTTAAACGATATGGTGATTAGCAAAGCAAACTACTTTTTCAGTCTTTCAAATTATTGTGCTTAATTCAATGTGTTCCATGCTGTTTCTTTGTAATTAATTGTGATATTTACTAGCAAATTCAGGAACACTTTAGTATAGGAACCAATTATCACTATTAACTAGTTGCTGATTAGCTTGCCTAACATATTGGCTGTTTATTAGTTGTTATTATTATAAAGCACATTCTGCATGACCATATTCTACATCCCTAATAATACCCGATACCTAAACTTAACAACTACCTTACTAACTATTAATAAGCAGCAAATTAGTAGTTTATTAAGGCAAAAGTCATAGTTAATGGTTTGCAAGAATTGGACCTTAAAATAAAATGTTACTGCAATTTCTGAGTATTTCTGAGGATATAGAAACAATTTTCTGAAAATTGTTTCTATATCCTTTTTTTCCCAATGTAGATAAAAGAAGGCCAATAAAAATGTACATAAGCAACATATGCATAAAAAAAAAAACATTTATAATTATTCGATTTTTAAAATCCTTAAAGACTACAATGGGGAAAAAAAGGATGAAGAATTTACTTTGAAACATTTTCACTCAGAAACTGCTAATAAATGTAACAATTAGAAAGAAGTAGCAAGTAACACATTTGAAGTAGAAAGTCTGAAGTGGTATTTTCTTGTAAAACATATAATAATATTTCTGTTATTTAATTTTTTCCCCAAGCTTAATCCTTATGTTCAAGAATAAGCCTGCGGTTTCTTCCTGAATGGATGAAGTTTGAAGTTTCCTTCATGTTTGCAAGTAAAAAACAACAACAACCAGACTTTGAATACAACTCAAAGAATGAAGGGGAGTCATTTGGTGGAATGGATCCGTATGACTGAGCAAAACCTGGAAATTCCCAGGGAGTAACATTCTTACACATTTTCAGCAAAAGGCAGAATACTAGCAAAATGTGTCACAAAAAAGTTAATCTCAGTTTTGGATTTTGATTTACACTTATGCATTTTGCAGATGTTTTTATTCCCCCCCCCCCAAAAAAATGGTTTTCCCTGGGAATCAAACCCAAAACTGTGTCCTTGGTAGGACCATGCCCTATTGAGCTACAGGAAAGCCTATATTAAAATGTTCCATCTGGGGATTAAATTATTCAGTAACATTAAATGGAAGTAACTTTTTTTTCCCCCCAATGTTAACATAACCTGTTACTGTTATAGTCATGTAACTTGTACTGTTTGAAAATAACCATTATTATTAAAGTTGTTAATAAGACTTGACTTTTTAGAAATTCACCTACCTTTCATGTTAAGTGGCAGCTCCAGATTGTAGATCCAGAGTCACTATCTGTTCACTTCCGAAGTGCTGTCTGGCTGAATCTTCTCCAACTAGATGCTGGTGAGATCAGACAGGCGCTCTTATAAACGCATAATGAGGCTGTCGTCACTGGAAGCCTGGATCTGTTCTCACTTTCCGTTTGTCATGCTCTGGCTGTCTTTTGCCAGAGTAAAACACTTGCACTGTTATGAAGCTAATATGAAGATAAACATTATGACTCAAGCGTGATGCTACCTTTCAACAAATCTTCAATTCATGACACAGCAACTCTAGATAAGCCAGATATTAAAGTGATATTCCAGAATGATTTAACAATAGTCTTTTTTTTTTTTTTTTTGTATGACTTCTTAAATGCGTGAATTGTAAAATTAACATTTATGTCATTCTTTCTGGTAGACCAAATAAACATAAATGTTGAGTTGGAAACATAGTAACACCCCCCCTCCGCCCCAACAATATAGAGTAACACTTATTGACCAATGGAAACAGCTTTTAGATTTTGAGTACTGAGTGTACAAATTTTACCAAATTCTACTCAATTCCCCTCAATGCTAATGTCCACTGTACATATAGTACAGTGAATATAGTAAATTTATACATAATATGCTGAATAAATGCTGAATAAATAAGCTTTCCATTGATGTATGGTTTGTTAGGATAGGACAATATTTGGCCGAGATACAACTATTTAAAAATCTGGAATATGAGGGTGCAGAAAATCACCTTTAAAGTTGTCCAAATATAGTTCTTAGCAATGCATATTACTAATCAAAAATTTAGTTTTGATATATTTACGGTAGGGAATTTACAAAATATCTTTATGGAACATGATCTTTACTTAATATCCTAATGATTTTTGGCATAAAAGAAAAATCTATCATTTTGACCCATACAATGTTTTTTTGGCTATTGCTAAAAATATACCCCAGCGACTTAAGATTGGTTTTGTGGTCCAGGGTCACATATGTGTTATATGTGCAGCAGCAGTATTTCTTACATGATTACCGCAGCATGTTGTGGATGTATTGGCAGTAGAAATTCTCGGTACTTGCTCTGCCGCAGCAGCAGCAGCGTAGAAGATCTATGCTGCCAAGACCAAATACATTAACATTGTCATGTACATTACCATGCCAATCCCTCCGAGAGTTGTCATGACAGAAATGCAATTATATTGTTAAAGCACCCAATAAATATGAGAAACGCATATGTTGTACATGTCTAAATCATATAAAGTGAATAAAGCAGTCTTAACCACCTTACTATCTTACATAAATCATGAGAAACCATAAAAACATTCATTTCGCCCCTTCATTCAAGTGCATCGGTCTTCAGTCAGAGTTGGAACTGGTTCCTCATTTCAGTGATTGTTGGAGGAACTGGAGCACTGAAAGTGTTGGCAAAAACCAGCTTCACAGGATCATACACCAGTATTTTGTCTCACTTCGAGTTAGAGTGACTGTCAGGCATGTCCAAAAATGAGTTTTGATTGAATAACTTGTAGATCTGTGCTGCTTGTGCCGCAAATTGTTTTAGACAGTTTTGTGTGATTTGGTGAACTGGTTCATCCAGTTTACCAAAAAGAACCGGCTCAAAAGAATGATTCATTCTCGAACCAGACATCACTCCGGATTGTTTGCCAGAGGCTCTGGATTACCTGTAGGTTAATAATGTTGTAAATAATGTTCAATTAGTTGCACAGGCCAATCGTTTCACTTCACAGGCCCTCAATAATTCATCAGGAGCCACAGGTAATCATTTAGCTTTTTAATGATTCTCAAAGTGACAGTAGCCGCTGACTTGCATTTTATGATCATGGTTTCAGCTAAAAATCCTCTTTACTGTTCTACTTAAGAAAAAAAAAAATGTCATCTACACCTTGGATGACCTGAGGGTTAACATCAAATGTTAATTAAATACTGTTAACTGAAGTGAAACTAATTAAATGCTATTAGTGCATTTTATAATTATCTCATTTACTTTTTCTTTAATGTTCTAATGGTCAGTTTTATAGTACTTTAATTTGATGATGATAATAATAACAACAGCTATTTATTTATTTATAGATTTATCAATGCTCAGCAGAATAGCAGGGTTACTTTTTCCTCTCTACTTTTCATAAAAGCAGGTCATGCAGACGGTCCGTGCCGCAATCAGCACATCCAGCTCTCACCTGAGATGGATTGCTTAATTAAAGCTGGTGGCGGCAACACTTTGGTGGGAGGCTCAGAGGAGGTCATGGGTGGGGGTAGGCAGGAACACATCTGTATCTGTTATCTGGATCCCTCATCAAGCCAGTCGCCACTGTTTATAGATTCAAACTCTAGAAGGTCCTTGTGAAATGATGCTTTTCTGGCAAGATCACATTGGGCATTTTAAGGAAATGGGAGAGGAGCAGGTGTTTCAACTCTGTTTAGATTGTTAATGTCATCTAGGCTCTTGATGAAAAATTAGTATTTGACGATACAGCCTCTGCTCAAGCACTAAAACATTCACTGTTTGAGTAGAGAATACAGACAGAAACAGAAAGACAATGAGAGAGCAAAAGCTTTACTAAAACAGACTGAATTATTGCCATCAACAATCTAGGTCATAACTATTACTGTAAATCATATTTTTAAACAATTTATGAAGGAATGCAAAAAGAGCAGTTAAAACTCCTCCAGCTGTGTAAGTTTTCCTATTGCTTTAAACAAACCTCGAGAGTTTCTGCGTAGTGTCACGACCGATTGCTTAATGTCTGGTATGTGGATATCACAGCTGCGCCATACGGCAGGAAATAGTGAGCCTTAGTAGCAAGAGGTTCACAGAAAGGCTTTTTTGCAAATCAATATTACTATGACAACGTTATAGTATTACATATCTGCTAGTTCCGGTCTAAATTTGACTGGCCTAATTATTTTTATGTATAACAGTATTGACATGCTTCAGTTTCACTTCAGTTTCCTGTTTGCTTTTTTTCACAATTGACTGTCAAGAAAAGATAAAAAAATAATAAATTTTGACTTCAAAGATCTTATTGGAGACTTCAACAACTTTAAATGAGCTTTATATGTAACATTAAGAAAGGAGCAACTGTGTCAAGCAATACATCACCTTATAAGCACAATTTTATTAGTAGGTATTGCTTGATTTAAACAATATAATTCATATTTACAAAGTTGATTACATGTTATTATGCTAATGGTTTGTTAATATTATTAATATAAATGTTAAAGTTGTAACCTTAAACTTCTGAATTTTTATGAGGCTGTTTGTTGACATGGGAAAGAAAGGAAAGAAAGAAATGAAAGAAGGAAAGAAATGAAAGAAGAAAATAAATTAAAGAAAGAAGGAAGGAAAGAAAGAAAGAAAGAGACAGACAGACATACATAGTATTACATGCCATTTTTAAAACATCTGCATCATCCTTTGTGTTAATTAGAAAAACAGAAGACTTGCATGTTAATTAGATCTTTAACAGAGCAGCAAATTAAACAGAGCAGACCAGCATGACATATATGAACACTGTAAACTGATGTGACATAATATTGGACACAGACCAGTAATATCCGTTCAGGACAATCTGTCCACAAGAGTTATTACACAAGGGACCAATCAGTAGAGTTAACAGACTCCTAATCATCAAAATTTACTGTCCAGAACATGGAA